TGCAAGATAAGCTTGTGAGACCACCAAAGTTTCGCTTTATTCAACCAGTTTTACCACTATTTGATACGGAAAACAACCAGCAAAATTGAGTGGTTGTTCGGTAAGAAAATATCTCCGGATATGCGCAAGAACCAGCGGGCTCTGAATAAAGCGATGCGGGATTTGGATCGGGAAGAGATGAAAATGGAACAGCAGGAAATGAAGATCATCGCCGACATCAAAAAGCTGGCCAAGATAGATGCGGTCAAGATTATGGCTAAGGATCTGGTCCAGACGCGACCGACTAAACATAACCACGAGCAATGACGAGGAACTGGATCCCAAGCCCCATGATAAACAAGGAGCGGATCCATCTAACGAAACCTTTAAGCGCCAAATAATCATTACCAACATAGGAGAAAATTCGGTAAGATCCTTCCATTACATTATTTTATGATTCTTCAAAATTGTACAAATATTTATTCATTACACACAACTACACATAGTAACTCGGAGCGTTTGGTACGGTATGTCCACGCATCCTTTCACCCCTGTAGATTCAAGAGATGTTCCCATTCATTTCCAAGAACCATCTTTGCGGCAAATACAACGCAGTAGGCCTGGCCGTATTGATGTTTATATCATATCTCAGATATGCTGTAAACATCAATTAGACAAGAAAAATGATTAGACTCATCTAACCTAATCATTTTCCAGGATGCTTTCTCGTACTGGCTGCTTTTGTATTAGATTAGATTAGATTAAATTAGATTTAAAGATTTCACAAAGATTCAGACAAAAAGCTTACCCATCAATCATTTTGGCACAGGGCTAGGACGATGAGAGCAAAAAGATTGCTTTTCCCAAAGTAATTCCCATATAATCTTCAAAGGGCCAGCGCAGAACGAGTTCGCATCCGAATGCCTGATTATAAATGATCTGTACCTGATTTAAAATCGATTTAGCTTGGTGGAGCCTATTTATGTGTTTTCTAAATCAACCTATTGTTTTGCTCTGACTCCATCCATCACCATTATTCTAGCCATGTCAACGCCACCGCGAAAGAGTAAAATGCTAGAGTGAATTCACAAAGCGCTCAAGTTTGATTAAATACAGCCAACGTCAATTGTCATTTGCAACATCGATTTGGTTATTCGCCTTTAGCATCTAGTTGAATCTTTCACCTGCCCTGTAATATCGCTCTTCCGACAGCCTCAATATCCCCCTCAACAAAACCAATCACGTCAATCGCCGTGCGTCACCATAGGGACCGTTTCACGCTCATGGTATTAAAATCAGAGTCGATTTTCACTGCTTTTCCATGAACTTTTCCTTTTTCGAGAGCAAAAAATCATCTGAACGAGATGAGTGGTACAGTCAGTGGTACTATTCGACAGAGCGGAGCGCTTTCGCTAGTTGGAAAACACAACGACGAGCTCTGTCTCCAGTGAGAATGAAAGCCACAGTGAACGACGACATCAATGACGACGAGAGCGAGGAGAACATGTTTTTCACAGTGCCTGTGCCACTGCGGGCGAAATAAAATCTGCGGTCTGTGTCGTTGAGACATGCGGCTTGCGGTTTGTCGCTTCGATTCGCCATCGCATGCTTCTCGACAGCGATAGCGATGCCAGGTGTGCAGATTTGTTAGTAAATTTGTTTGTTGACTCTTTTATATTTTGCACACATTTTCCGTACATAACTAATTGAACGGAATTTATGTCTTTTCTACGGAATTATATGACCGCCGCTCATTACATTGATTTAAGTTTAGTTATGTCTCATCACTGGGCACCTTGCTAAAATTCCATCCCTCCGCTCATCACATTCAGCTATGCATCTATGAAATAGTATGGACTGCCCAATTGAAGACAATTCTGAAAATGTACACACATTTAGAGCTCTCACGGCAGATTTGTGATAAATTAACCTGGCATCCCTGCTGCTCGGGAGACACTATGATGACGATAACCGTAAGCCATGGGTATATCAAGCTAAACATTGCATTAGGTCTTAAGTAACATTGATCGATTCTCTTCGTTGAGTTTCTGTTTTATGAATAACTTGAGCACATATCCGTTTTTTGTTGTGCTTGTCGCATTAGATGCTAGATAAAAACTTTTTTTTATCGATCTGGGTACTGAAAATACCTGGAAATGTCTTTACATGGCCGTGGAACTACAAAGAGAAAATCTGTTAATGTTACTTAGGACCTAATGCAATGTTCAGCTTGATATTGTATCGGGGAAAAGTGAGATCAATTTAGGGATAACATTGTTTACATTTCAAATCCCCTGGGCGGGTGGAACGAGTTGACGAGAGGTCGGTCTGATGTGATGGTGCGAAAGTCTATAACGGGGAACGATTACACTTTCATGTGAAGTAGGATCGCATTATTGCGCTCACTTGCTGCGGGGGTGAATGGTTCAAAAGTTTAGCGAATGGGATTATTAGGGATGCGTTTGCGGATGATTGTGGATCGTTTATGTTAAGCTAGGATTCGATTAAATGATCATACAGGAGAACAGTATGTATTACAAACAATAACTAAGCATGTTCCATGCTCTAGGATATTCCGAAATGTGAAAAATACCCCTGCGCCTTCGCTCATCAAAAAGAATGAAAACGAACTTATCAGACCATTTATCAATCCACAATGCAATCACTCGGCTTTCATCTCTGTTGACATTTGGCCATCTGAATTTAATTTATCCGACATCAAACATTCACCAATGATTGATTTCTCTCCGGATCAATAACGTCGAGAAATGGCCGCATTTACGATGAATTAAATCGTACTTTCGCTCGCAGCTGTTGATTCACAAGCTTCCACGTCACTGCGAATCAGAAATTTAGCAACCAGAATGAAAGTTAACTTCGTTCCCAAAATCAATCACAACGACGAGGACTTTCTCGGAATTGCCCTGCTAATCAGCCTCGCCGGATGGCATGGGGGAATGATTTCCCAGGACGTGAAAAACATTACCAGGAAATTCCATTTTCGGGTACGAAAGAAATTGAAGGAAAAAAAACTTTAAATTACACAGCAGATCAAAACAGGGAAACGATAGAAACGCTCTCCCATTTCCTTCACCACTTCCCTTCAGTAAGTTCGGAGCCCGCTTCGATGTGATTAATTGCAGGGATTTAAATTTATTTCATTGCCGTTAATAAAAGATGATTTCGACGATTCGCAGTAATTTTACAGCGCTTACTTTTTTCACCACGGGGCATAGCGGCATTGGTGATGTGCTCAACAACTCTGAAATGGTGAACTTTATGATCATAAAGGACTCTGCTGGCATGTGAATGGAAGATGAGGAAATGAAATAAAAATCGAATAAAACGCGGCATAACCAACTGGACCGGTTGCGAAATGGAGCGCAAAATGGGAAAGTTTATTCGGGGAAGTGGTCAACACTGCTGTGAGTTGCGAATTTTCCTCAAGGTTTTTTATATGGAATTCACACCAGAATAAGAATGGCAACAATACAAACAAGGTACGAAACGTAAAATATTGCCCCAATAAATCAAACATAAATCAATGTTTCCTTTCTCACTTGAATCATTTCCGGGCCAAATGTAGTTATATTCCACTCATAGATTCACTCGCAACGACTCTTTCCACTCGTTTTGCGTTCGTTTATCACCTCTCAAAAAGCTGAAACATCGAAACTTGATCGAAAGCACTTAATAATTTTACGGTTCGCTACAAAGTTAGCATCTTTCTATGTCAGCGACATTTTTATTTCGACATGCGCGACGTCCTCCCAATTGGGACGCTTTTCTTTGTTTTGTGAATTGTATGCGTTTGGATTGTTGAGAGGTTCACATGATTTCTCATCAAATTCAGATAAATCTACCCTTAATTCCTTATCAGAAAAAATGGGCTTAAAAAAAAAGATTCCTTTTGCTAAATAGAAACCTTGACTTCAAAGTAGCTCATAAGGCCCAAAAATATGTCTTGTTCTTTGCATCTTTGAGTACGGATTAAAATGTTAGCTGGCCGTCAAAAGCGCGTTATCGTGCGGTTTCTGTTCGATCCAATGGTTCCTGATCATGAAGCAGTTTCTCATAACCATATGGTTCAAAGGTTACCAACGGTTCGCGATTGATCGCTCGTGTCGTGATCGCTCAAGGTCTGGACGTCCACGCAAGTTGATGGATAAAGCACGAGAACAACTCCATCAAGAGATCTCGAACGCTGGCTATCATGTTGCAGCATCCACCATCATGCGCTATTTGTGCTTCAGGACTCATAAGATGGGTTTCCGAGTAAAGTTTTGAACCAAATTGAAAACAAGTTTGTTGCGAGATTGACGAAAAGAGACAGTTTCCGGTTTTGTGAACGTTATATTTCAATAACAGTTACGTTAAAAAATCCCTAACGGAGAAAACATAATTGTACAGTAGCATAAGTTTTGTTGTACGTAGTAGTTTAAGGTTAAATTATCTACGTGGGTTTATGTTTAGCATTACGAGTTTTAACATCGTTTACTTTAATTATGTTTAGGATATTCGTTATATAGTGTTTTTAATTTGCATCTACTTGTTTAGTACTTACGTTTAGTGTTCTTCAGTAATTAATTCTGTCCGTATTCGCAACATCCGTACTGTTCATCAATTATGTGTAATAGCTGTGTGAAATTGTCCTAGGGTTAGGTTAACTTATTTGCATGGTTCATTAATATTCGTGTTTACCTGTTTTTGTGTACAATTTGTGAAACTTTAAATAGAATATGTAATTTGCCACTAGCGTAGATAGTATTAAGCTAAATTAAGAAACAATATTACAATAAAGTCTAATCTTAATTTTAATGCCAATCTGCATTTCTCACCTTTGCACTGTCACTCGCACATTGAATGTTTTACCTTTTGTCCCGATATCTGTACAGGCCGCATGCTGACGTTTTAGACGCAGCGGCTCACCGAAAGTGGGGTAACGACACGGCAGCCCAAAGTTGTTGGACCCAAGGTGCGATGCAAACGAAGGTTGCGACACTCCCCCCAGTACTTCGAGGTCACTGATCCGACGTACTTCCAATCGCACCGATGTCCAGCACTGCGATTTTGACGGTTGGTCTCTCCAGTATTCCGGTTGCCGTTTGCACCTGAGCACGGCGAACCTGTCCATCCTTGGACCGAATGGCGTGAACCACCCGACCTTTCGGCCAGCAGTTCCTCGGAAGCGTGTCATCCACCAACACGACGACGTCTCCTTCTTCGATGGGCTTCGCTGGGCAAAACCACTTTGTCCTTCGCGTTAGAGTTGGCAGGTATTCAGCTATCCAACGTCTCCAGAACCTGTTTGCGTAGACCTGCGACATCTTCCAAGTATGCTTCAGTGCGTAACTACTATCTTCGAACGCGATCGGGGGCTTGGAACCATTTGACGACCCGAGTAAGAAATGATTCGGGGTTAGCGGTGAGGATAGCTCATCATCTAGCGGCAATTCAGTCAGTGGTCGAGAATTGACGATTAGTTCAATCTCCGCCATCATGTTTCTCAATAGCTCGTCGGTAGGTGTGCGTGTGAGTTGTAGGTGCTTCAGGGCCTTCTTAACTGATTGAACGAGGCGTTCCCATGCGCCACCGAAGTGTGGAGAAGCGGGTGGGTTAAACGACCATTTGATGTCCGGGGTGACGAAGTATTCCATCAGCTTGTTCTGGTTAACCCGTTGTAGTGCCTTCATCAATTCTCGGTTTGTTCCGACGAAATTTGTTCCGCGGTCACTATATATCTCCAGAGGGGAACCTCTTCTGGCGATGAAGTTTCTGATTGCGATGATACACGAATCCGTTGTAAGGCTATGCGCAACTTCGAGGTGTATTGCTCGAATGGTGAGACAAGTAATCAACACGCCCCAACGCTTTTCGGACCGTCGACCAACAACGACGTGCATCGGCCCGAAATAATCAATGCCGATATATGAGAACGGGCGGCAGAACGCTTTCAATCGCATGGGTGGTAAAGCAGACATTTCAGGAACAGCTGGCCTAGCCTTGCGGATTTTACAAAGCTGACATCTCGCTCGTACACGATTGTATGCTGAGCGAAGCTGAGGAACGTAGAATCTACGCCGGATTTCATTGAGCGCCGTCTGATGGTTCATGTGGCAATACCGCTGGTGAATATCGGCGATGATGAGATCCGTAACTGGATGACGCTTGGGTAACAATATCGGACGCTTCGTACACTCTTCCACAAATTCGCAAGCGTCTATGCGACCTCTCATATGCAGCAATCCATCAACGTCGAGAAACGGGCTAAGTTCGTACAGTGAACTACTTTTCGGCAACATGTTCTTCCAGGGCATTGGTTTCGGTTTCTGCATGATTTGTAACTCCGTTGCAAACTCGGAATCCTGAACAAACTTGAGTATGGTAAACTCCGCCTCCTTCAGCTCATCTTGAGTTAGTGGACCGGCTACGATCGGCTTCTTCGATATCCTCTTGCGTAGATTCGCTGGATATCGTTTCACGAAGGCCACGTGACGCAGCAGACGCTTCCATCTGGAAAAGTCCTCCCACCTGAACAACGCGCGTTCTACGAAGTGGTGGAGCACACGCGGACGTTTTTCTTCTCTAGTTTGATCGAATTTTGACGCAGCAATAGGCCATTGCTCTTTCGGACCCCACAAGAATTCAGGGCCACGAAACCAACGACTAGTAGGAGCAAAATCCGGTAGCTTTTGCCATTTCGTGGCATCGTCCGCGACGTTTAGTTTCGACGGGATCCAGTTCCATTCATTTGGTTCCGTCAACTCCTGCATTTCACTGATCCGCACCACTACGAACTGGTTATATTTCCGGTGATCGGAGTTCAGCCAACAAAGAACGTCGCGTGCATCTGTCCAGAAGAACCGTTGCACAGGTGTTAGCTTGTGTGACTCCATGATCTTGTTCGCCAGTCGTGCTCCGATAACTGCTGCCTGAAGTTCCAGTCTGGGAATCGATACAAATCGCAACGGAGCAACTTTTGTCTTTGCGCCGACTAGTGCACATTCTACTATGCCTTGCTCCTCGAACCGCAGATAAGCAACCGCAGCAAACCCGTTTTCAGATGCATCCACGAACACATGAAGCTGAATCACATTTCGCTCTCCAATGCCCGTCTTCATCCGGTAACACCTGGGCACGCTAACAGTCTCCACTTGCGGCAAAACTCGCAACCATGTCTGCCATTTCTCCCACTGTTCGCTCTTGATTGGTTCGTCCCAATTAACACCGCTGCGCCAAATTTCCTGAAGTAGTATTTTCAGGAACACCAGGAAGTTCGCCAGCAATCCTAGGGGGTCATAGATCATCATCAGTGTACTCAAGATCTGCCTCTTTGTTGGCACGATATGACCCTGAAGAAGATCAGCGTTAATCCTTGGGGATACTTTGAAGGTAAAGGTGTCGGTAGCGGTGCACCACCACAAGCCAAGAACTTTCTCCGTCCCCATCTCGCTGGTCAGATTCAAGCTTTTCTCGCCTGGCTTGGCTTCCAACTCCCGCAGCACTCGGTTTGAGTTCGACAGCCAGTTGCGAATTTCGAACCCCGCCTCTGCGTGGACAACCCGGACATCTTTCGCCAACTTTATCGCCTCTTCTTCCGACTCGACGCTAGAGAGCATATCGTCGACGTAATGTTCCTTGACTGTTGCCTCAGCTGCCCTCGGAAACTGCTCCTGGAAACGTTGCGCATTGTGGTTCTTGACATACTGCGCACAGCTAGGTGAACACGTTGCTCCAAATGTCATGACCTTCATCACATAAACATCTGGACTACGGCCTGTGTCGCCGTTCCACCACAGGAACCTAAGACACTGTTGGTCGATCCAGTTCATTAGCACCTGCAGGAACATTTCCCGAATATCTCCAGTAATGGCAATCCGGAATTCCCGGAAACGGTACAGCACGGACAAAAGAGAAGTTAGTAGATCCGGTCCAGTGAGCAGGAACGAATTCAGTGAGACTCCCGCTACCTTCGCAGCCGCATCCCAAACTATGCGCATCTTCCCTGGTTTATTCGGATTAACCACCGGAAAAATTGGCAGATACCATACGCGTGGGAATTTCTCGGCCAGTTGGCTCTCTGTCAGCTTCTCGATGTATCCGGATCGCTCATAGTCCCGATTTTTTTCCTTCAGCGCTTCGGCCAGTTCAGGGTCCCGCTGCATTCGCTTTTCCAAGCAAATCAGTCGTCTCATAGCCATCGACTTGCTGTCTGGCAGCCGAACATCATCGTTCCGCCAAAGCAATCCCGTCTCGTACCGCTTACCTTTAACGTGAGTGAGCGATATCAATAGCTGCTCCGCTCGCTCGTCATCCTTTGATAGAAGTGGCCTGATAGGGCGCACAGCTCCTATGTTGTCCAGCGAGAAGTACTCTTTCACCGTTTTATGCAGCTCCGCATCGTTACGCTCACAACACGGGCACACGTTGAAACTGTGATATGCTGTGAAGCCTGACACCGATTGGGTTGTTACAGCGCAGGGTCCAAATACTATCCAGCCCATGCGTGTTCTGGTAGCAATCGGCTCGTTCTTCTTCCCCTCTTTGCTGTCTAACGCGTGTCCCAAACGACAGTTGTCCATTCCGATCAGCATCCTCGGTGCGACTTCGCGATATGAGTCAGCCGGCACGTCCTTCAAATGATGATAGCGACACGCCAATTTTTCCATCGCAAGAGCTTGCCGTGGTAAAGCGAGACTTTCAACGGTATGTACCTTGGGAATCCAGTGCATCTTTGTATCGTGTATTCCTGATATCTCCAATGCCAGTTTAACGGAGTTCATTTCCTGACGTTGCTGGTCGGCTGTCCATCCAAGACACAATGGATACGGTTCACCCTCAAGACCTAGTTTACTCAGCAAACTATGTTCCATCAATGTTGCCGACGAGCCATCATCTAGAAAGGCAAATGTACGAACAGATTTTCCACGCCCATGAAGGAGGACTGGAACGTATCGAAACAATACCTTACCGACGTTGCTTACGTGCGTGTTGCAGGTTTCAACTGGTGCCTCAACATGAGGAGTCGATCCTCCAGAAGTTTCTCTTTGCTGATATCTGGAATCGTCGTGTAACAGCTCATGATGCATGTATGAACAACCATTTTTTCCGCAAGCTTGCTTTACCGCACACGCTCCGAAATGCTTCGCCAGACACTTCCGGCACAACTTGTTCTGCTTCAGCGCTGCCCATCGCGCTCCGATGTCCAGTTCTTGAAACTTCTTACACGATCCCACACTGCTACATCCTCCGTGACAAATGACACACTGCTTGATCGCTGGCTTCGGCGTTTCCCTAGGAGGATTCGCTGACGCTAGACTATACCTTGACTCGACATGTACGTGTACTTCCTCCTTTCGAACACGCTTCTCAGGTTTGCCAACGTAGGTGCAGAATGATGACGGAACCGTTACTGGGCATGCAGCTTCCACGAGAGTTCCTAACCATTCACTGAAGTCCGATAGCGTAACCGCGTTCAGTGCATGACGGTGTCTCGCCCAGTCAAGCTTGACAGTTGGCGGCAGTCTCTCGACAAGTTCTTGAAGAAGTGCCACGTTGCATAGATGCTCGTTCAACCCACAGGCTACGATCGTAGCGCACATATTCTGGACTGCGACACCGAAATCGATCAGAGTTCCAAGCTTCTCCGTCTTTGGTGCTGGCATTTCCCGAATCTTGCATACTAGCGAGTTGACGATCACTTCCGGCCGACCATACAACGTACGTAGAGTGTTGATGACGCCGTCGAGCCCTGCTGGATATAACAAACGACTTCGCACTGCATCAAGAGCCTTCCCCCTCAAACTGCGTTGGAGTCGAAGTAGATTTTCCTCCTCACTGAAACCGCACATTCTGGTGGTACTCTCATAAGTGGCGATAAATAAAGGCCACTCTTCAGGATTACCCGAGAAAGTGGGCAATTCCTTCGCCACTGCATGCCTTGCGGCAAGTTGACTTCTGCTGAGTTCATGAGAGTCGTTCAATCCGTCATTCCTTGTTGGGACAGGTTCTCTGACGCTATTTTCCATCACCCTCAATCGATCCTCAATACGCTTCGTTTCGAGATTTTGCTTTCTCACCATCTTTTCAAGCTGCTTTTCCATCCGCTCGAATGCCTTACACACGTCACCAGCTGCTATGTTTTCTCCTTCTAGCGCTGTTGAATTTGCATTCGGTGGAGGAGCAACGGTTAGAATATTCAACTCTTCTCGAATCTGCTGCTCCCTTTTCTCCATACGAAGCTGGAATTGGTACTGCAAATCGTTAACCGCATTCTGCATCTCGCGATCTTTCTCAAGAAGCAACATCTCGTACGCCTGCTGCTGTTCATCGAACCTAATCTGCATCTGATTCATTCGTTTCTGGAACTCCTTGAGTAGCTCATTTTCCTTTTGGTTGATATGCGACGTTTGATTCTCTCCACCTGATGGGTTCTGAGCTGCTCTTTCAGCTTTGCATGCTGAACAACTCCAATCCTTCTCCTCGATTCCTTCATCAACATCCACGCACTTAAAGTGGTACCACAGACCACAGTCGTCACAGCACACCATCCGGCTATTGTCAGGATCCTTGCACACAACACAACTCACACCCGGCTTGGGGCCTTTTGTTCGATGCACTCTCGGCATAGTTCAAACAGCCTCCCCGATCGCGATTAAACGGATTTTTTAATAATGTTGCGAGATTGACGAAAAGAGACAGTTTCCGGTTTTGTGAACGTTATATTTCAATAACAGTAACGTTAAAAAATCCCTAACGGAGAAAACATAATTGTACAGTAGCATAAGTTTTGTTGTACGTAGTAGTTTAAGGTTAAATTATCTACGTGGGTTTATGTTTAGCATTACGAGTTTTAACATCGTTTACTTTAATTATGTTTAGGATATTCGTTATATAGTGTTTTTAATTTGCATCTACTTGTTTAGTACTTACGTTTAGTGTTCTTCAGTAATTAATTCTGTCCGTATTCGCAACATCCGTACTGTTCATCAATTATGTGTAATAGCTGTGTGAAATTGTCCTAGGGTTAGGTTAACTTATTTGCATGGTTCATTAATATTCGTGTTTACCTGTTTTTGTGTACAATTTGTGAAACTTTAAATAGAATATGTAATTTGCCACTAGCGTAGATAGTATTAAGCTAAATTAAGAAACTATATTACAATAAAGTCTAATCTTAATTTTAATGCCAATCTGCATTTCTCACCTTTGCACTGTCACTCGCACATTGAATGTTTTACCTTTTGTCCCGATATCTGTACAGGCCGCATGCTGACGTTTTAGACGCAGCGGCTCACCGAAAGTGGGGTAACGACACGGCAGCCCAAAGTTGTTGGACCCAAGGTGCGATGCAAACGAAGGTTGCGACAAAGTTCTTATACCCGGTGTTGCGAACACCCCTCGTCGATGAGCACACCTCCAAATCAACCGTGCGGTACCAACTGAATGGTCGACAGTTGACAGAAGCAGATCATGGGAAAAACAAAGGGTAACATTATAAAAGCGATCGAGAAGACCGAACTGATGTGATAATATATCGAAAAATGCTTTCTAAATGTACTAGCTAAATTATCGCGTTTATTTACATAAGACCCTAAATTTGATTGCTTAAAAAGCCTAAATTTGTTATTCTACCTAAGCAGTGAGTTGAAAAATTATTTATTCTCTAATTGAAGTGCTAATTTACATGCAATTTATTATTCTAGAAATTATTATAGGTTTAGTTGATTGCGCTCTGCATCGCCTTCCCTTGGCTAATCATTAATCACTGTAAACACACGGTAAATCTGTTAGTTAACAGTTAATTCGAATAATTTAAAAATTGATTAAATTCAGGATTTCCAAAGTCTAATGGAAATAGATTCTATTCCAGGTTGAAACAAAACGATAGTAAATTACAAAACGTAAGTCAAAAACATTGAAAGTAACAGATTGTTAACTAAATCACATGAATTTTCAGGAAACTTTAACGCAATACATTTTTAATTCATTCGAAGTTTCGGAGCAGACCTTTCTATTCGTTGCATAAGCAACATCCATGTTTAAATAGATAGACGACCTTTGCGGAAAAATAAGAATGGATGTTAGGGCATCCAATTTTTCCGCATCTAGGGCATTTTCAGCTTGCCGCATTTAATGTTACATGGTTGGAGCTTAAATATGTTTTGGAGCAGCTGCACTCCGGAGTAGCACACTGTCATCGCAATAAGTTACAGCAACTTGTTTATGACTGAAATAAGTCGTATATAGGTTTCTCAATTGATTTGTGACAAGCTGCTGATGTCTGAGGTTTTCGGCAGCTTCATGAACTGGATCTCATTGCAGAAAGTTGATGTTATCAAAAATGCTATACCCATCCTGCATGAGAGCAAATCGGGTGCATTGTGAAAAAGATGTTGGCACTCTGTTATCATTTTTATATTTAACAAAAACAAGACACGTCTTCCTGTTCCCATTCTTTTTTTTTTTTATTATAGTCACTTTAACACTCTTGGGTCATTCGTGACTTGTCTGGGGGTGAGATTTGAACTCGTGACTTTGGCGTGAGAGGTATGGATGTCAACCACTACGCCGGGGTCGCCCCCAGTTGTTCCCATTCTAAAATGATTAGAACTTAGGTAATTAGTATAACAATGTAACAATGTTGAAACCAATCAATTGAATCACACTGAAGAGCAAAGCCCAGTTCCCTCCAATCCCTTTCTATGACGATAAAAATCTTCATCACGCGGAAAATCGCGATCCACTTGCCTGCAGCGTAATTGCCCCAGAAAATGAAAACCTCCACGAACGTAAACCTTCTCTTTATGGGTCTGTAATAGCATTTAATTGGAAGACTGTTTCCTGCTTCGTTGCCTCTTTCTTGCCAAGGATTCCGAGCTACATTCTAAGCTGCCTGCAAGGTTCAACGAGCTGAATACTGCCGAAACAAAGCACCAAACTTTGCCACTTACGATATCGTGAGAGAGGCTGCTTTCGGATCTGTGGCAAGCGAAACTTGCATGCTTCGGCATCACGTGGTGTAGCGGACGAAAAAAAAAATTGGCAAAAGAAACGATTCAGCAAAAACTTCAAAGCATTTCAAGCTCACGGGGTCTGTGTGTGAAGGATACCAATTAAATTAAATTTTAAGCTTCCTTCCTTCCTGGGAATGAGCTGATTATAGCAAAAGACGAGGCCCCCTCCGTCCACCAATTAACGAAAATATTTCGAATTGGATCACATTTTACACGTTTTCCCCTCTCAGGCTGAGAGTTTTTCAATTATCAGGCCTCGACGATCGCAACTTAGATGCATCCAGACCAACTTTGGCCATATCTCGTAACCCACTTCAATCATCCAACTCTTCTCATGTTAGTTATTCAAAGTGTTGCTCAAAGCGAATTGTTTGGAAAGTTCTTCGAAATGTAAGGATTCCGTAAATACACAATACATACCCGATTCTTGTTCCATTCCTTACGTGAGACAGGAAAAGGTGACTCTGTGGCGTGTAGATTTAAGGGCAACTTTATTCCATTCACATTCACCGGAAGCAGCACAGCGACGTATGTTCTATTCATTCAGTGCAGTGAACGCGACGAGAACGGATGGATAAGTGCACGAGTTGCAAATTACATCAAGCTTCCTCTTCCGAGGAGCACCACATTTGCCAAATGAGCGCAACTGGGAGGATCAACACAAGCAGCAGGACGACTCAGACGGCTGTGTTTTGTTGATTCACAAACTTTTCCGCGAGAAAAGCGAGTGCGAATTTCAATTTAACTTTGCTATAAATTTGTGTCAACATTCATCTCCTGGTGATGGAGAACGAACTGAACTGGTACGTTAAGTTGGATGGAGATATATCACGCCGTGGATTGGAAACGGAAGTTTTCTGTTGTTGTCAACAGAGTGACGAAATTGTCCTGGCAAAATACAGAGTTTGAAACTTTATACAATGCTCATTAAATACTCTAGAGAACTTGTGCAATCTTAATGTCCCGGAAAGGTTTCCATTTTTGGTCAAAATCAATTTATTTTGCTCTGTCAACCACCGCTGGTTCTTTTGTAGTTTTCGCACATTCCTTTCTTGGACCCTCCCCATGGACATGGAGGTTGACGGTACTGAAGCAAAAGGTTATGTTTAGTCTCTTTATATTTGCAACTATGATGATTTCCCATAGTGAAAAACATCACCGTCATAATTCTTCAGTATGCCTCAAACGATTAATTCTTGGTTGTTAATAGAACTCCCTTGATGAAATCGGCTGCTTCATGCAGACAGACTGAGCAATTCTGATTATAGTATCAGATTTGTTCTGTTCTCAGATTTGTTCGGAACTGGGAGGGCTTATTAAAAACTTCTCAACAATAAACCTAGTAATTTTGCATAACATTTAAAAAATATTTCTTTTTCTTTCCTTTATTTAACGTCGGTCTCTGTTCCGTAATCTAGTGCCAATCACCGACGGACATCGTTTGCCATCCATTGACGGCATTCGAATATGCAGGAAGGCAGCTTCCACACCTGCGTAAGATATCGCACCCATTCATCAACACACATGGACCGGGACCAACGGCTTTACTTCCCTTCCGAAGGAAGACGTGACCAGAGATTTTTATGCCTCAGAAAAATTCCACCGACCTCGGCTGGGATTGAACCCAGACCCATTGGGGTGTTAGAAAGCAGTCATGCTTAAAACTACACCACCGGCGCCGGCAAATTATTGTTGATACAGTCAATTAGCATTAGCATATGACGCATTTCGCGCCAAATCGAATCAAAGCACTCTCAGATTTCAATGAAATTTTCTGGATGTGTAGTCTTTGACTAAATAAGAACATTTGCATACTCAGTTTTTCCAAAATGTATCTAGACTAACATTTGAGAAGGACCAAACTCTTTATGCTGATTTAAAAAAAAAAATATTTTATGAAAAAATGACAACTCCTACAAAAATGTGTTGTATGGATGACTTTTAGAAAATTTTCCATGTTTTCGAAAAAAAAGATACTGAAAAAAATCGATTTTTAATATTTAAAATCGAGTTAAAAAATTGCCATGTTTGATTTGGATGAAAATTTGCCGTATGATAGGTAATAATGTTTACTACCATCCATCCATGCATCGCGAGATGGGCACTTTTAAGTTGTTCTTACAAAAACATTCTCATGTCTGAACTGATTTTTTTTTTAACGTACCATTTTCACACAAAACTAAACCTGTGAAGCTCAAAATCATCTCAGAACCCAATGAAGCTCAATTTGTGTCTCAATTTTGTCTAATCAGCACTTAAGTTCACTTTGATTCATTGAGAAATTCCACATCTATTGAGGTCCACACATCCAGAATGTTTCATTGAAATCTGAGAGGGTGCTGCCAGCTCCGAATACGATTTGGCGCGAGTTGCTTCATATGATACAAAAGATTACTTTACAATATTTAAATATTTACTTAATCGTACTTTGACGCGAAACGCTGTATATTGTGAGATGCTCGATGACCCTAGAGAGTTACGTTTTTACTTACTAAGCATAAAATCATAGATTTACCCCAATCTCTTCCACAGCA